GTAGTAGTAGTAGTAGTAGTGGTAGTAGTAGTAGTAGTAGTAGTAGTAGTAGTAGTAGTAGTAGTAGTGATGGTGGTAGTAGTAGTAGTAGCAGTAGTCGTAGTAGTAGTAGTAGTACTAGTAGTAGTAGCAGTAGTAGTAGTAGTAGTAGTAGCAGTAGTAGTAGTAGTAGTAGTAGTAGTAGTAGTAGTAGCGTAGCATTAGTAGTGGGTGTAGTAGAAGTAGAAGTAGCAGAAGTAGTAGGAGGAGTAGTAGTGGTAGTAGTCGTAGTCAGTAGTAGTAGTAGTAGTAGTAGTCGTAGTAGTAGTAGTAGTAGTAGTAGTAGTAGTAGTAGTAGTAGTAGTGGTGGTAGTAGTAATGGTGGTAATAGTCGTAGTAGTAGTAGTAGTAGTAGTAGTAGTAGTAGTAGTAGTAGTAGTAGTGGTGGTAGTGGTGGCAGTAGTAGAAGTAGAAGACGAAGTAGTAGCACAGACCGAGCAGCAACATTAGTATGGAGGAGGTCGTACGTAGTAGAGATTAGTAGTAGTAGTTGTAGCAGCAGCAGCAGTAGTAGGAGTAGTAGTAGTAGCAATAATAGACACCGTACGAGTAGCAGAAGAAGTAGTAGTAGTAGTAGTAGCCGTACTTGTAGCAATGGTAGTAGTAACAGTGATAGTAGCACTAGTCATAGTAGTAGTAGTAGTAGTAGTAGTAGTAGTAGTAGTCGTAGTCGTAGTCGTAGTAGTAGTAGTAGTAGTAGTAGTAGTAGTAGTAGTAGTAGTAGTAGTAGTAGTAGTAGTGGTAGTAGTAGTAGTAATAGTAGTAGTAGTAGTAGTAGTAGTAGTAGCAGTAGTACTAGTAGTAGCAGTAGTAGTAGTAGTAACAGTAGTAGTAGTAGCAGTAGTAATAGTAGTAGTAGTAGTAGAAGAAGAAGAAGAAGAAGTAGGCGTAGAAGGATAAGTAGAAGCAGAAGTGGTAGTAGCCGTAGAAGTAGCCGTAGTCGTAGTAGTAGGAGTAGTAGTAGTAGTGGTTGTTGTAGTTGTCGTAGTAGTAGTAGTTGTGGTAATAATCGTCGCAGTGGTCGTAGTGGTGGTTGTCGTGTTATTATCGCTGGTTCGATTGTCCTCAGTGGTACTCCTATGAATGTTGCTACGACACCTTCAGCCTCAGAAAACACGTTCGGCAAGACTCGTGCTCTCATCTAGCGGCCTGGGTCTGGTAGACTTTTTCCAAAAACACACGATGAGGTTGCACACCACCCGAAAAACACAAGCCATGTCTGTCGCCAGTGCGGTCATTCATAGTCTACCCTGGAGTCCAGATGTTGTTCTAGATGCTGAGAGAACGCATGCTCTCATCTCGAGGCTGCTCCTTCTCATCACATCTGAAGGCTCTTGCCAGCCCTCCGCAGCCCTCCGCCGAAGAACAGTTGGAGCCCTTTCCCCCGAAGATGGTCCCCGAGACAGCCAGCAGGCCCCCAAGAGGCCCCCAAGAGACCTCCAGAGGCTCCCAATCAACTCCCGAGAGGCCCCAACATGCCACAACGAGGGCCCCAAGAGGCCTCCCAAGAGACCCCAAACACGCCTCTCACCAAGGCCCCTTGTCCACGACCCAGTCTGGTCGAAGGCCACTGAACACTACATACAGCATGGGCCAGCGGAAGGAGCGAGGCGATTGGATGACTCTTCAGGCTTCCGCCAGCCATCCGCCGAAGAACAGAAGCCCATGGAGGGCCCCCGACCTCTCGACTGTTTCCCCATGACTCCCCGCGGAGGTCTGGACCCCTTCCTGGTGATGGCGGCGCGCACACGGGGTCTGAGGGTGATGGGACGGCTTCTTAGAAGGAGGCTGCTCCGTAGGATGCGCCAGCCTTACATCTATGGATGAAGCCCGCACCTTCTAAGAGGCAGGGGGGAGGAGGAGGAGGAGGAGGAGGAGGAGGAGGAGGAGGAGGAGGAGGAGGAGGAGGAGAAGGGGGAGGAGGGGGAGGAGGGGGAGGAGGAGGAGGAGGAGGAGGAGGAGGAGGAGGAGGAGGAGGAGGAGGAGGAGGGGGCGCTTCTAAGAAGCCGTCCGCCCTCCCCGTACCCTCCCCACTCTGCGGGTGGCCGACTGGAGACCAGGTCCCCCCCATGGGCGACAATACGGATGATCTGGCCACCTCTCTCAACCTGAGGGCAACGATGGGGGGGGGATAGGCCTATATAGAGGGGGAGCATCGACCTGGAATCGGCGATGCATCGCCGATAGATCGGCGATAGGCCCCCGATAGTGAATCCGCACGTCCCCAGGCTGGTTAGGGCTATCGGGCCCCTGCCGGCGATCAATGGGCGCTTGGTGAGGGTCGGTGCATCCCCCCCCCTATGCCTGTCCCCCCCTATCGTTGCCCCTGACAGCCCCATCCTCCCAACCCGATGCCTTCACTCTGACCCGAGCCCCCTTCCGACGGTACCTGGGGCCCGATGGGCGGCCCCCGAGCATGGCCGAGAACCTTTCGCCGCGACCTCTGCCCGCGGCGAGAGGA